CAATTTTACACTCTTATCAATGTAAATGTTATCATGTTAATGTGAATATTCACATTGTCAACGGGCCGGACCGGGCTCGCCCCGGGGCAGCCACGGGGTGCGGGCCAATTTTACACTCTTATCAATGTGAATGTTAATATGTCAATGTGAATATTTACATTGTCAACAGGCCGGGTCGGGCTCGTCCCGGGCCGTCCACGGGCCATGGGCTAGTTTCGGGCATCCACGGGGCGCAGGCTAATTTTATACTCTTATCAATGTGAATGTTAACTTGTCAATGTGAATATTCATATTATCAACGGGCCGGGTCGGGCCTATTTTTTTGGCTTGTGGGCCGGCCCGGCCCGACTCGAATTTTTCCGGGCACCCACGAGGATCGACATGAGCCGGGCCCCTACACATTGACGATATAAACATTTATATTGACGGTGTGAACATTCACATTAAGGGTATTTTGGTAATTATGTCACTCATAGGACTTATTGAAACATAAGAAAATAATGTGGACTAAATGGAACATAAGTAGATGAAAATGGTATTTTGGTCATCTTACCTTAAATAGGACCTAATGGAATAGTCAAAAAGAATATGGGTTGGATGGAATAAAACTCTTAGAAAATGGATTTATCAAAAAAGCTCCCATATAAAAAATAAAAGAAAATAAAAAAAATCACCAAATAATCTTTATTTAATTACCACTAAAAAATAGATAAATGTATCAATAATGATTCATTCCCCCTTTTCCTCCCACCCCTTTTGACCCCCTCTCTCTCTCATTGGTTACTTTTTCTTTTTCTTTTTCTTTTTTTTCCTGCTCCTCCAATCACCACCCGCCACGTGACAAAAGGGGGTGAGGGAGTGACCCCAAAAAGGGGTCCCAAGCATTATTCTATTCTAAATGTATTTGGACAAATTTAAGCTGAATTAGTGTGACCAAATGGCAGGTAGTTGTACCGAATGGCCACGCCATGAGCACGTGGGCTACATACAGCTAAGACATCTACCTCACTCAAGTAAGCCTCCTTTTGACAAGTTGGTTTGGATGTATTTTTGGTTAAAATAGTCACAAAAAAATAAAATAAATTTTTTAATTTAATAAGGTAAAACATTACATTAACTCATAATCATTACATTCTTTCTCTCACAAAAAAGTTAAAAATTTTTTTCAAATCAGACTTTTTAGTCCCATACTTAGATAACTAAAAAAAGTCAAAAAACCAACCCGCTTCTCAAACGAACCCTAAACCATCCATTTCCGCTCAATTTCCATTATGAGATGAGAAAATAATAAAAATGATTAAATTTTTTTCACTAGGGTTAAAAAAAAAAAATTTAAAAAAAATTATGATTTCTCATCAGGTATCTTCTTTTCTTTTCTTTTTTTAAATTTATTTACTTTATATTTAAATAGATAGTTTAGGTATTATAAATTTTTTAGATAATTATAAAAAAAATCTGAAAATTTTAGTCTTAAAACAAAATAAATCATAACTTTTTATTTTGTTAATTTAAATTTTAATCTTTTAATTTGTTTTCAATCTAAAATATTTGTCTATTTGTCGTTAAATAAACCGTATGGAAAAAATCATATTTTAGTCAATAAATTCAATGTGAGTATATATAAAATGTTTAAAATACTCTTTTTATTGAGTTTAATGACGAAAATATTCATTTTCCTATTGATTTTACTTTACAAAAATAAAAAAATATTTTAGGTTGAGAACAAATAAAAACTTTAGAGTTTAAATTAATAAAATAAAAAATTTAGAGTTTATTTTGTGATAAGACTCAAACTCTTTTTTTTTTTTTTTGAAAAATTTACCCATAAATTTCCCTTTTCTTGGTAGATTATTAAGTCCTATTAAATTTGAAAAGTTATATTGTGAAGTATTTTTATTATATTTTTTAAAAAATTTAAATGTGGCTATGCTTCAAATGTGACAATGAGACATTTTTGTACTATTATTTTATTGAACTTTTGTCAAATATATAATTTTTAAAATGTAACAATGTGATATCATTTCTCTGTGCACTATTGTTTTATTAAACTTTTGTCAAATATGTTATTCTGTTTAAAATGTAACAATAAGACATTTGTGCATTATTGTTTTATTAAACTTTTTATCAAATGTATCATTTTTAAAATATGACAATATAATATCATTTTAATGTGTTCTCTATCATCTTATTTTTTTTTGACAAATGTGTCATTTTTTTTAAAATGTGACAATAAGACATTTGTACGTTATTGCCTTATTAAACTTTTGTTAAATGTTACAATGAGACATCATTCTAATGAGTGCAATTACCTTATTACATTTCGAAATATGGGTATGCTTCATTGGGAAAATTTGGATGTGAGATAGGACTTATGCATTCATAAGAATATTTATAGAAATAAATGATCCATAAGTCATTGATATATAATTTATTAGTAAGGTGCCGTTTAGCAAGTGGGTAATGAACCCCCCCTTTTTTTGGGTCGTAATTTTTCCTAATTTATTTTTTTTATAAATAGTAATTTTAATTTCTCATCAAATCTCATAAATTATGGTAAGAAACAAAACTGAAATAATTTGTCTTTCTCACTATTACTCACCTTAAAACAAGTTATAAAAAATCTCATTTTATTAACACTCAAAATAAATGTTAAAAAAATAGATTAAATTACATTTTGCCCTTTTATGCGTCCGTCATTTTTTTACTCTGATCATTAATTTTGTTTTCACTTTGGCTCTATGGGTTTCAAGTTTTTTTTAATTTATTTTAAAATCTAATCTATGTTCAAAATTAGATAAAAAATGATATATTGACAATCACGTAACATAAAAATATTTTATTATATATAACTTATATTTCTGACACAACTCAAATCTTAATATAATAATATATATTTTTTTATGTTATGAGACAGTTAACGTGAGTCTAATTTTGAACATAAATTTAATTTTAGGAGTAAATTTAAAAAAAAAAAAAACTTGAAATATGAACAATCACATTTTTTTTTTTCAAGGGCCAAAGTAAAAAAAAATCCAAACATAAGGGGGCAAAATATAATCTACCCCAAAAAAATGTATCACTTATTTTTCATTTTTATTTTTTAGATATACAACGTCCTGTAATTCCCTCCCATCCACCACAGGCGTTGTTTGGACTCATGCGCCTACTAAGGGGTTTTGTTCAATAATTTGAATAGTTCATTTTATAGGATACTTCACATGTTTCATCCACAAAAAAATTAAATTTGTTCGATAATCGTAATCTATTCAATAATCATGTTTGTTACACAGGCAAAAAAAAAAAAAAAAAAAAAGAAAAAGATATTATGTTGTTAAAGATAAATTATTAGACAAATATTATAAATTAAATAGATTATGATAATCTAATTGAATTAATTATTTTTATAAATAAAATAAACAAAATATATAATAAAACAAACTATTCAAATTATTAAAATAAAACACGTTATCTATCCACGGTCCAAACACTAGCCATATGTGCCTCCAAAGTTTAAAAAAAAAACACTAGTAGAGAGTGTCAGTTAAAAAACATTTATCATTATAACAATGATAGAGACCACTAATTTTGAAACTCTAAAAAGACTACTAATAACATGGCACTCAATAAAAAAAAAAAAATACAACACTAAGGCCAAAACATCAAATCATTCCTGGTGGAACCTACTGTCATATCATTTGTGATAGCACTAATTAGTGCTCTCACTCATTTTTCTTATCATTAAAGGTGTGAAAAATGACACTCGCAAAATCTACATTTTATTATTTATGTTATTTTGATACTTATATTTTTTAATTCATTTAATTTTTAATTTTATATTAACTTGATCCAACTGATAATAGAATTAATATTTTTTTTACGAAAAATTATCACTAAATTCATTGATACTAATTCACTAAACTTAATAAATTTATAATTTTATTTTAAAAAATATGACACATGATATGTATGTACATATTTTTTTTATAAAAAAAATGTCCAAAATTATAGAAAAATTCTACTATACACGCCTTCTACTATATGCTCCATAAATTATAACCAATTTTTTTATTTTTTTAGTTATGATCATTTTTTTTAATTATGATCTTATTTTAATTATGACTCATGATTTTTTTTGTTATACTTCAAGTGTTGTTTGACTATAACTTTTTCTTTTAGTTATGACTTAGAAACTAAAAAATTATATTGTTTTTTCTTTAATTATAAGATATATACATTACATACCTTTTTTTAATTATTTTTTCTTTTAGTTATGAATTGCATTCCTAAAAAATTACAGCAGCAGAATATACCGGGGTTTGGTGGGGTGGGGTTGGTGGACATGTTTTTCTCCTACAAATACATGGCAACGGTGACTTTTTCATTGGAGTGTCGTGTGATTTTCCTTCTCTCCAAACAACCCATATCATCTCATCTTTTACCAACCACAATCCTCCTCGGAAAATCCCAAAATGCCATCAGTTTCCGGCCAAACCGTCTGCGTCACCGGTGCCGGTGGTTTCATAGCTTCCTGGATGGTCAAATTGCTCCTCCAGAAAGGCTATACTGTCAGAGGAACTGTCAGAAATCCAGGTAAGAGATTTGAAAATTTAACATCTATACATGCTATATATTAATATGTGTATTGTATAATTAATTTGGTGTTTGTGTGGTGTCAGATGATCCGAAGAATTCCCATTTGAGGCAGCTTGAAGGAGCAGAGGAGAGATTAACACTATGCAAATCGGACCTTCTTGATTACCAGAGTCTACGAGAAGCCATTGATGGCTGTGACGGTGTTTTCCACACCGCTTCTCCGGTTACTGATGACCCAGTAAGTTTTGGGTTTTTTTTCTTTTTTTTAAATTATTTATTCTGCCGATCCTCCTCTGTTTGGTTGGACAGAAAATGGAAGGAAAGAAAAGAAAAGCATATGCAACTATCCAGAAAATTCATCTCAAACTTTAATATTAAAATAATATGTACATTTATACGACGACACTTTTTTCTTTTTAAATTTATTTATTAAAAGTTAATCCTTACTTTTTATTTATTTATTATTCTCAAATCTTTTTAAAAATTTCCAAATTTATCCAACAACCTGTTTTAACCATTTTTTTAATGAAAGAAAATCATCTCAAATCCTTACTTTTTAAAAATTTCATTAAATTTGAGCAAAACTGCGTCTGTTTGGAAATTTGGTGAATTCAACCTTGATTTGGTGAAAATTTTACCTCTCGATTTGATTCAAGTTTGATAAAACGATTGGAGCTCACTTTTTGATTCTTTAATCATCAAAAAAAAAAAAAAAAAAAATTAAGATGCAAAATTTTGTTTTTCCTTCATTTTCTTAGCAACCGAACAGTTTTATTACGGTTTTTGTGACATGGGATTGATGGCAGCATCTGTGTTTGATTTGAAGGAAGAAATGGTGGAGCCAGCAGTGAATGGAACAAAGAATGTGATAATTGCAGCGGCGGAAGTTAAGGTTCGGCGCGTGGTGTTCACTTCATCAATCGGAGCAGTAACCATGGACCCTAACCGAAGCCCCGACGCTGTTGTCGATGAGAGTTGCTGGAGTGATCTTGAGTTCTGCAAGAGCACTAAGGTTTAACATTCAACATTAATTTTTATCACTAGTATTAGTTAATTATCCTTGCATTTCAATATTGGTCCTGAATGCTAGAAATATTAAAAACTAGGAAGATGTATCGTGACAGTGGGTTTCATTTATTGGAACAAGAGAGGTTGGATCCTCTGTCTGGATATTCCAAGCGACCACTCTCTAGTTTGATCGTGTGGTGGAGAAGAGCTTATGATAGGGAAACAGGAGATCCATACAGCGGATATCCTATTCCTCTATCTAGATCTTCCCCTGTTCCTAAGCCCCTCTCCACCACACGATCAAAACATGGGAGTGGATCATCTCCTGTTCCAAAGCCCCTTCACTACACAATCAAGTTAGCTTGAAACAGAGGAGGGTTCGAACAAAGGATCTTCTATTCCTTTGTTTGGATCGCCCTCTCCACTACACAATCAAGCCAGAGGGAGGTAACTTCGAACAAGGGAAGATCCGGATAAAGGATTCCCTATACGAGCAAGAACACAAGAAACGATGAGACTGAATGTGATGCTTTTGACATGGAATTGTAGAATTGGTATTGCTATGGGAAGGCAGTGGCAGAGCAAGCGGCCTCGAATGAGGCGAAAGAGAGAGGGGTGGACTTGGTGGTGGTAAACCCAGTATTGGTGCTTGGACCGTTGTTACAACCCACCCTCAACGCGAGCATTATTCATGTTCTTAAGTACCTAAATGGCTCAGCAAAGACCTATGCCAACTCAGTCCAGGCTTATGTGGACGTGAAGGATGTGGCACTGGCACACATACTTGTCTTCGAGAATCCTTCAGCATCTGGCCGATACCTTTGTGCTGAGAGCGTGCTTCACAGAGGCGATGTGGTTGAAATTCTGGCCAAGTTATTCCCCGAGTATCCCATTCCTACCAAGTAAGTTTAAATAACCATTATTTGAGCTCCTAATTTACTTCCAAGTGTTAAGCTGAAGGTTTTCTTTGCATTCTGATGGGTTTTACAGCATAACAATTAACAAACTTTGCATTTTTACCCTCTAGTACCAGTGATGGCTATAAATATGGGCAATCTTAATCTTGACTGGTAAGCTTATTAAAATTCTTGAAAAATTCCTCCTCTTGTAGGACACAATGCTTTTAGTGACGGTGCTTATGGACAGTTGAGTTAGGTCTAATGTTGGAACTTCTCGGTAGGACCTTAGAGCTCCGTAAGAGTTGAAATTTAGTATAGCATGATCACTAAATCACATGTACGTTGTGTTTAGTTGGGAGATTTGTAAAAAAAATTTTTTAAAAAAAAGGAAAAGTTAGGTAAAATATAAATAAAATGTATTTATATTTTACTTAGTTTAACACACATTTTCTCTTTCTTTTTTTAAATTTCTTTTCAAATTCTTCAACCAAATGGGGTGGTTTGGAATGCTCTAAATGAATGTATTTTTTGACTTTTTATAAAAAGATGTGTAGAAAAATAGAGAAAAGATATTGATTAATGTGATCTAAAAAAGATAAAAAGATGGACTAAATTAGTATAAATGCCAAAAATGCTAAAGTAGTTTCTTCTTTTTTCAATTACCAACATTCATAGCCTTCTTTTAAAAATTTTCCTCTTCTTTTTTATGCTTTTAAATGCTTTTACTGGGATTTTGTTTTGGAGTATTGCAAGTGTCACCAAAAATTAGCTCACATCTTCATGAAACCTCAAACTCCCTTATCAGAGAGTTGGGAAGTACTCGTTCAAAAAATAAAAAAAAAGAAGACAGTTGGGAAGTACCATTTAATAGTAAAATAAAGGAAACAGTTATACATATTATTCAGCCTCTGTTTGGCAAGTTGATTCTTGGGCTTTTTTGGCTATTTTAGCCACAAAAGACAAAATAGGCTATTTTAGCCATAACAAACAAAACATCACATCCAACCCATAATCATTACATTCTTCTCTCACAAAAAAACTCAAAAAAGCCAAAAAGCCAAAAAGCCCTTCCCAAACCAAGCTTTTAAGCCCAGGCTAAAATAGCTAAAAAAGCCAAAAAGCCAAAAAGCCAACCCACTTCCCAAACGGAGGCTCATTGGGCCAATAAATTTTTCTTGATAAAGACCACTAAATTTTTCTTGTTATACATATTATTCATTGATAAATACCATTAATTTTGAAATTCTAAAAAGATTACTAATAACATGGCATTTAATAAATAAAAAATACAACACCAAGGCTAAAACATCAAATCATTCATGATAGAGCCTACTGCTACATCATTAATAGTAGCACTAATTAGTACTCCCACTCATTTTCTTTTTTTTTTATGCTTCCACCAAAATAATTACATCATATGTGTACATAATATAGTGAAAAGGAAATACAAATAATTAAAGAAGAAAACTTAGTAAAGTTTGAATACTTTCAAAAAAAAGCTGGTCAAATATGATTGGATATTGCTACTTGCTGTAGTGGGACGGTAGGTGTACCAACTTTGTTGAATAGTGTATAACCCATTATTAAAATCTTAAAGTAGCAAACCTTGAATCTCATTGATTGACCCCATTGATTATATGAACAAATACAACTTCTGGACCTGGAGAGTCCTCACCTACCACCCAAGTCACTCTATTGAACCCTAAGGCCTTGTTTGTTTTCAGAAATAGAATAAAAGGGATTTATAGTGAGGGGATTAATAGTAAGGGGATTGATAGTGAAAAATTGTTAAATTATTTTTATATAAAATAATAAAACAAATAAAAAAATATAAAAAATTAAACATTATATTTAAAAAAAAATTCCCAATATATAAAAAATAAAAAAATTTCTAATCCCTTCACAATTTTTCTAATATCATCTCTACCTCCTCCTTACCAATCCCCTTCCTCTTCCTTACTAATACCAAGGGATTACTAATCCCTTCCCTATCTCTCAAAACAAACACCTCATTTTCAATCCCCTCCTCACTACCAAACTCAATCTCCTCCCTATAATCCCAAACAAACGGGGCCTAATTGTCTATCTACCTACCTAATACCTATCATGTTTTCCTAGGACTGGCCATAAATAAGTGAATGACTCATGTTGAACCTATGGGTGTGTTTGATTGGGGGATAAAAGGAAAATTATTTATTATGCAGATTGTAATTCGGAAGAATCATTCAATTTGACGTTTGTTTTTTTTAGTCTGTCGGATATGTCCGGCCGGACTCCTTATCGCTCATATGGGAGATTATACTATCCTAGGAGGGGGTATGAGACAATTTTGGAGGGACTACTTACGGTTGGGATTAGGTGGTAAAATCACTATTTTAGACCCTCTACTATTTAATTATGTATTATATTTAGTAAAACTCAATAAAATTTAAATGTCTCAATTTAAAAATAAAATAATTTTATTTAACTTTTTATTGATGTTTTATTTATTTTTTTAAAAATAATTTTTTATAGATATTTTATTGATGTTTTATTTTAAAATTTTGTTTACATTTTATTTAATTTCATTATTTAAATTTTAATAGATGTTTTTATTTATTTAATTTTTTAAAAATAAATTTATTTAATTGTGTAAAAAATAAAATAAAATAAATTTTTATTTAATCTAGCTAAAAATAATTAAAATATTAAAGATATGTTTAATATTGTTATTACTTAGTAAACAATTGAAAAAGAATAAAATAGTCTTTTGTTCATTTATCCTATCCAGTCTTTCTAACCAAACGTTCGATTTACTAAAAATAGTCATTTTCAGACATCTAATCCTATGAAAAAATAAATACAGAATACATATCCAATCTAATCAAATAGTCTAGAGAATTCACAGTCTTAAGACTCAAGTCCGATAGATTCTAATCCCCTTATCCAATCCGTCCAATCAAACACACCCTAATTGTATATCTACCTACCTATCATGTTTTCCAAGGGTTGGCCATAACTCAGTGAATGACTCATGTTTAACCTTTGTCACGTTGCACAAGTGCATTTGTTGCAACTGATGGGCGATGTGATGGACTAACGGGTCCCCATTTTAGTGTTTGTTGTTGCAATTTAAATGGGCTACTTATGCCCCTTTTTCCTTTTTTTTGTTGTTGAAATTCTGTGTCGAATTATTTGTTGTAACTTCTGCTTACAGGTTACACTGTAAAATAGCTTAAATAAATTGAAAAAAAAAACTAATTATATTTAGATTTTAGTGGAAGAGTGTTTTTAGATTTTGCTTATAGATTATTATTAACTTTTAGCTTAGAATAGATTGGTGTGAAATTACTGCTTACTGCCAAAAATGTTACTTTTGAAAACTCTTTCCATACAAACTAATAAGTTTTGGTATTTTAACTGGAACTCACTTAAATAACATGATAAGAGACATCGGTTTGTAAATGCAAGTTTACAAGCTTTGTTTGTTTGTAAAGCACTACTCCCGGCAATTTCTGTTCATGTGTCTCTAATAATTGGAATATTGATTTGAATAATATTATTGTTGTTAATTTTGAAAGTAAAATGTTCCTTTTGTTTTTGTTGTTGTAAATGCAGGTGCAAGGATGAAACAAAGCCAAGAATCAAACCATACAAATTCTCAAACCAAAAGCTGAAGGACTTGGGTTTGGAGTTCACACCGGTGAGGCAATCCCTCTATGACACAGTCAAGAGCCTCCAAGAGAAAGGTCACCTCCCAATACATTCCCAACATGATGAATCTATTCTTCGCATTCAGTCCTAAGTTTCTTATTTCGCGACTTGATTTGGCAACAACTGTTTTTTAGCAGTTTTTGTGTGAGTTTCTTCTTCTTTTGTTTCTTTTTGCTTTTGTTTTTTTTTTTTTTTTTGGTTGTAATTGTAGGACAATCTTCACTGTATTTAAAAGATTTAATTCTATTGTGTACACAACAACAATTAGAATTTAAAGAAATAAAGAAAAGGAAAGAATTTGTTTGATTACAAAAATCAAACATAACAAAATAAAATCTGTTTTTATTTATTTATTTTTATTTCGAGTTTGATTTTTGTAATCAAACAAATTCTCTCCTTTTCTTTATTTCTTTAAATTCTAATTGTTGTTGTGTACACAATAGAATTAAATCTTTTAAATACAGTGAAAATTGTCCAACAGTAATTCTTACATCAAAATTTGAAAAGAAAAAAATTGATGTTATCTAAAAATCTGCATGAATAAAACTGCTTAAAGTAGTCTAAAAGTCAATTAAATGTGGTTGCCAAATGAAGCTATGCCCTGATTCACAATAATGTGGATTTGTATCTGTATTGTAACAATCCATCCTGTAATTGATTATAAACTTCCAAGTTGGAACAGTATATATTGAATGTATAGATGGATTGTGTTGATTTGTTAGTATTCCTTTTTCTAGTGAGGTGATTTGCAAGTTGGTTTATGTAAAAAATAAAAAAAAAAAATTATTATTAAGCATTAAAAGTAGTGTGGCGGTTTGATTTCGTTACATTTCACAAAGGCACGGCCGATGGAGTACACTATTGTTTCTTGTAGTTTGATGAATCTCATCTCAAATTCTGTGTTCACCTTAGGGTGTTCATCGTTAAAAGTTTTGATTGATTGTTGTTGAAGTTATGACTTAAATGTTATTTTTATTCATATTGTGTAGTAACTCCCCAAACCCAACATGAGTTATGATAAGATGTAGTAGGCAATTACATTATATTGGAATCCAATTATATTATATTATATTAGAATCCGATTATATTGAATCGTAATTTTTTAAAACACCCATCCTGAATTGATTCAAAATTTCATTCTAAGTTCAGCATTTTGTGGTACAGAAGTACTTTTTTTTCTTCTTTTATTTTATTTTTTATTGTGTGATACTAAAGTACTCAACTTGAGAATGTTGTGGTGGCTAAGGTGGTGTGAGTGTGGTGGTGCAGAAATAATTGTGGGTTGTATTTGGGGTTTTGAGGGAAGGGTTGTGGTCAGTATCGCCAGGATTTGACTTGAAAGAATGTAGATACACTACTAGAAAAGGGAGCTTTAAACACGAAACTTTTTGCGACGGTTCAAAACTTGTCGCAAAAAATAAGCTTTTGCAATGGTAAAAAAATCCGTCGCGAAATCACTTTTTTGCAACGGTAAATAACTGTTGCAAAAAAAGCACCGGAGAAATACTATTATTAGAGACGGACAACAAAAAACTGTTGCAAAAGGTTCCGTCGCAAAAGGTCATTCTGTTAGTTTGCAACGACCTTTAAAACCGTCACAAAAACTTAATCGCCTCATTTTCCACTTTTGCGTCTCCCTCTCTCCCTGTCTTTCACGCTCCCTAATCACTATAAAAATTTAAAATTTTAAAGATAAAAATTATTTGTTTGTAAAAAGTATAACATTTTTAAAACAAATCTATTAGTTACAAAAAAGATTAATGACTTTTTACCAACAATTTTAATTGGTTCCTAATAAACTCAAATCAGACATTATTTTATTTTACTTTCATTCTTTCAGTTTTTATAGTCGGGATTTCATTCTTTGAAGAATGGCTCTCTCTCTCTCTCTCTCTCTCTATCTCTCACACACACACACACTCTCTCTCGAATCCCTAATTTCCGTCTCCACAGAATCGGTGGATTGTTGGTTTCGATCCCTAATCTGATCTCAGAAACTCCTAATCCACTTCCAATGGCAACAAGAGCAAGAATGCTGTAGCATCATCTACATCTCTTTATCAGAAAACCCTATGTCCGATCTCGGAACAAATGTCATATCGATCGCTTGCATTAGGAGATCCTCAAGGACCTCGAGGCCTATCTCTCTCTCTCTCTCTCTCTCTCTGAAATTTTATTGCGCTGTGCTATATCTATATCTATATCTATGTGTATTCGTTTGGAAATGCTGAACTTAGTTTGTGAATTGGGTATGCGTAGCTTAGGGTTCTGTTCTGTTGTTTTTGTTTCAATATTCTTATTCTGCAAATAGTGCTTGGTTGTGGAGAATCTGAGGAAAGCAAACAGTGTTTTTTTGTAATCTCAAGTTCATTTCCAAAAAGAAAAAAATTTGCAGAATGAGGAAAAGGAATCTGAGGAAAGCAAACAATGTTGATGTTTGGTGTTTGCTCATTCGTTACATTATTCACAGTGGCGAGGCTTTTGACTTTCTATTGCCCTTTTTTTTTTTTAAATATCAACTCGATTCGAAATGCCGCTTGGTTGCTGAGAAAATAACTTGAATATTTGAATTCGACTTTTTAACTACACAACACCTGACGGCCCTGTTTGTTGCACAGCTTATTGATGCTATGCTTTTTTCCTACTTTGAAAATCTATGTGGCAGAGTGTTTGGTGCTATGAGGCAAAAAAATAACTTAAATAAGTAGGAAAAAAAAAAAGAAGGTTAATTATCTAGAAAGACAATTTTCATTGTTTTCTGTTACTAAACTTTCAATAAAACTGAGGATTTTTATATCAACAATGTTAGGTAGTTCAAAATTTTGTGGTTCAAATGGCTCAAATCACTCAAAACGACGTCGTTTTGAGTGTAAATGAGTGTAAAACAACGTCGTTTTTGACAAATTTGAGCCATTTAAGTCACAAAATTTTGAGTTATCAAACATTTTCCTTTTTATATAATGGACAGCCTGGTTTAATTGGATACACGTGATGTTGGCACTTGCAATGTGGGGTATACAAATCATGGCTGTATGTTGCTCCCTTTTTTCTTTTTTTTTTTAATAGTTTCAGTGCATTGTAGGAATTTAAGCTTTAACTTAGGATGGTACTTGTTTTATTATTGATGAATTGTTTGGGCCTTTTACTTTATGTGGTTCTTGTTTTCTAATTTTTTGCCTGTATGTAATTGCTATGTTCATTGTTGTCAAAATATATGATAAATAACCGAAAGGTGTAAATTTAATCATAACAGGTTTGTTTTCTTTTCTTTGGATGGAATATGTTCTCCTTTGAAGTATACTTTTTTTCCTTCGATTCAATTATGGATTTGTTTGAAGATTTGGTTATATCTATGTAATTAAGATCTTGTTATACTTTTTAATCCTCTCTCTCTCTCTCTTAATTGGCTTTGTTCTCATTAGTGGAGTATTACTTTTTTCTCAAAAGTATTTAGAGTCTCAAGAGAGTAGGGATTTGTAAGGTTAGTGGACGACTGCCTATTCAGATTTGTAAGGTTAGTAGATGACCATATGATGAAGTATTTGAAAATTTTAACAGTGAATTAGGGATTGTCGCTAGGCAATTTGTCACACAAAATGTGCCATTGTGGACCAATATTAGTGAAGAGGATAAAGAAACATTGATTGTATACCTTCAAGTAAGTGACACATTCTATTTTCTTCTTATTTCAATTATGCATATAAGTTCAGTTTGGATATACTAGTACTAGTAAATATAAACTATATGAAGATGAGATGTATTTGTTGGAATTATGATTTTTATAAGCTTATTTTGGGCTAATTTTAAACCGAAATTTGAGTGAGGCCCACACGTCTTTTGGGATGGGTCCAAGAGGTGACATGTTCCTTGCCGCATGGCAAGTTATATGGCGAAGACGGTTCGTCAAAACCATTTATGAGTGAATGGAAAGTTGACGTCATTTTTAAGTTCGTGGAATTGACAATTAAAGAAGTAAAATGTGGGTTTCCTTAAAATGGATTATCCCATATAACTTATGTATATATATAAGTTCTAGGTAACAATACTTGGGTTGGGCCCTAAGGGGCACCCCAAGTTTGTAGAAGGGAGAAATTATGGACAAAGTGAGCCTTGGCAAAAACCACTACACGCGCGTGCGCCGCCGTCACCATTAGTCCGACCGGGCACGCATGTGGATCAGATCGGATTGGGTCAGGTCGAGTCGGTCTTAACATAATTTTTTAGACAAAATTTATTTGAATTTTTTCAAATTCTTGCGGGAAAATTATTTGAATTTCTAAACAAAATTAATTTAATTTTTGCGCCAAATTTTTTTGTCCAAATAGTGCCCTTTTTCAATGCATTTCCCAACAGTTTGAAAAATGCCCAGGAGTTCCGAATAGTTTTAGACATATTTAAAATTGCCCAGCAGTTTCCAACAGACCTAAAACTGCTTTGCACCGATTCTATTTGAATTCATATCTGTTTGTTTGAAAATCATACCTATTCAACCCTATAAATACCAGGACATTTCCAACAGTTTGAAGATTTGGAAATTTTCTTATTTCCATCCAGTTTTGCTCTCTCTTTGCATTATTCTTCATATTAGTTTTTTTAGAGAAATTTCTGAGAGTATAAAACACAGGTTTTAGTTTGCCGTACAGATTATTTGGAGTGCTACTACAATTTGTGTAAAGATCATTGTATCCTAGGAGATCGATGCCATTTATCCATAAGCACTGAAACAAGACGAATCTGTCTTAAGGGTAGAGTGTCACACACTCGACTTGATTTTTTTTGTACTTATTCGGTTTGGTAAATAAATTCTGTAAGTAATTTATTTTTATTTGTTTGATATGGTTTCAAGTTGGTTATTTTACACAGAAGATTGTTCCAACAATCTTAAGACAGATTTTTATTTATACAGAAATTTTCTTTTGTTTCTCTTTCTTCTTAAAAAAACAATTTTTTGTGATTATACAAAATGATATTCTGGTTGGAAAATACAAATAGTAGTAATATACTGTTTGACAAATAGTAGTAATATACTATTTATTTTCTTTTACAACTAGTAGTAATATACTGGTAATCATTAACAATTTCAGATATTCATTAGTAAAGTTGGTCAGAAATTAATTTTGGGTTTTAGAAATAATTTCTGAGTTTTCATTAATTAAAATTTCGTTTTAGTATTTTAATTTTTGAAGTGTTACAAAAATATTTTTTATGTA